GGAAAAGGTGATGTCAACAAGAAAGGGAGAATAAGAAGAAGGGATGACGAGGAAGAAGACTATGATGGAGGATAAAAGAGGAATGGAAGCTAGATTGCCCCTTCCTTGGAAAAATTAGGCCGGGAAAGAGTCAAATTGGGGATTTAAAGGTTGGGCGAGTTCGATGGCGGGGTCAGAATGACGAGTGAAGTAAAGTAATAGGAGCTAGAAGAGAAAGTGAGTTTTTTTTTTTTTTTTTTTTTTTTTTTTTTTTTTTTTTGAATAGTGGAGCAGAGGCAATGTGGCCCCTTGTGCTTGTTATCATCATTATATCCCCACTCTTGTCTACCACTGTGGTTGTCCTTATCTGGGTATTGCGTTGTGCATTGCGTTCATCCGAGTTGTCGCTTTCAGCTTTGATAAGTATGGTGGACGTAGTGATCATTGTGGTCGTCGTTGCCGCATAGTCGCCCCGATCCCGACCTTAGCCGTAGTGATGGCCGTGTTCGCTAGCGGTGGATCTCTTGAAAATTTAGCGGTAGGAATCGTGTTTTGTTTGCACAATTGGTAAGAAGAGGGAGTGTGAACCATAGTTGCGTGCTCTTCATTGTAAACCTTCCCTTTGTTGAATCGTGGTTCACATGTTCATACCACATGCCATTGATTGCCCCTTCATCACCATCACAGGAATGTCTCCATTGGATTGTGCACCGCTCACGGTGGTGACCATCGTAGAGAACTTTCTTGATCGTGGAAACTACCTGTCACAACATTCCTTATGACCATTGTTGTCCATCCCGATCATAGGCTTTCCTCCCGCTAATGCTCGTTCTCAGGGTGTCAAGAGGTTAGTGTGAACCCTGGCCAGGAAGGCGGACTGGTGCCTTGGAAAACGGACTCGTTGCAGAGAGAGAGTGAGAAAGCGGGGGGAAAACAGAAAAAATTCACCACAAACTAGCGATGTGGGGGGGGGGAGAATCAAAGTTGAGTGGCAGTACCAGACAGTGCGTTAACTTGGGAAGGGGGAAATTGGAATTTACCAGACTGGTTATAACCGAAGGTTCATCTTCAGTTGAACACTTGGAAGCAGGCGTGATAACACAGGAGATTGACTATAATATTTTAGTGTGTTATATGCGATGATCCATCCTCCCTTTGGATGATTGGGGAAGAGCAAGGCTTGCAACACCGCTCATTTACCTCTCTGCATTTCCCCATTGCCCTCGCAGTGCCACACATCGTCGCTAAGGCCGTCTTCACGGTGCCTGCAGTCGTTTTGGGTTGAGATCGCCATCCTCACAAGTCGTTTGGCTATACCCATGTTCGACAGCCTTCGAGATCGCCCTTGCTCTTTCCTTTCTAGTTGAACTTGATGTTCGCCACCTGCTTCGGGGTTCATTTTATTTGACCTTGATTGTATTCTCAGTCAGATACACCGAATGAGGTAGTGACTGAGCTAGCTACTGGAAAGACAAAGAGGAAGGAGCAAACCTTACGTCGTGTCTTATTTGGTGGTCGCCGACTTGTTTCTGCTGGTTAAATCGACCGTTAGCTGCGTAGCACCCCGTTCTCGTTCGCCGGCGAACGCGAACACGTTCGCCCGAACGCAAATAGGCTCCAAAAAATAGCGCACGCGAACCTGAACCTCCCCGGTGTCTGATTGATTGATTGATTAATTGATTGATTGTTCGGTCGGGACCTCCGACGACGACGACGACGACGATGACGGCGGAGAAGGTCTCGACGACGCAGGAGGTCCGGACGACAGAGGAGGTCCTGACGACGGAAAAGGTCCCGACGACAGAGGAGGTCCCGATCGAGGAGGAGGAGGTCCCGACTCCCGACCGACCAAGAAGAAGAGGAGGAGGAGAGGAAGAGGAGGAGGAGAAGAAGAAGAAGAAGAAGAAGAAGAGGCAGGGGAGAAGAGGAGAAGGAGGAGGAGAAGAGGAGGAGGAGAAGAAGAAGAAGGAAAGATGGCGAGGAGGAGGAGAAGAAGAGGAGGGGAAAAGATGGTGAGGAGGAGGAGGAGAAGAGGAGGAGGACAAGAAGAAGAAGAAGAAGAAGAAGAAGAAGAAGAAGAGGAACAAAAGAACAAGAAGAAGAGGAACAAGAGAACAAGAAGAAGATAAAAAAAAGGCGTGTGCTGACGTGGCAGCCGCGCAGCGATGACGACATGAGTAGCTGGAGTAGAGGAGGAGGAGGAGGAGGAGGAGGAGGAGGAGGAGGAGAAGAAGAAGAAGAAGAAGAAGAAGAAGAAGAAGAAGAAGAAGAAGAAGAAGAGGGTGACGAGGAGGAGGAGAGAGATGGCCGACGAGTTGATCTCTCTCTCTCTCTCTCTCTCTCTCTCTATCTATCTATCTCTCTATCTCTCTATCTATCTATCTATCTATCTATCTATCTATCTATCTTTCTTTCTCTCTCTCTCTCTCTCTCTCTCTCTCTCTCTCTCTCAC